AATTTAATAATCGATTTCTATCTTAACTGCTGCCAGCTGTCCCTGCGGCTGTATTGGTACTTAAAAAACTTCGAATCAGTGACAAAACACCAATAAAACGAAGAATCTTAAGAAAGAAATATACTACTTCGTAACTTCTGTGCGCTGTCAACGACCATATGGCTACCCACTTCACTCACTGTGCCTAGATTGTCATTGCTCTGCTAATGCCCTGCCAGAAAAAGTCATGCAATTTCAAATGCCGACCGGTGTAAATTCGACGCTCATAAGCGTGAGCTAAAGTCTACCTTGTTGAATATTCTTGTAATAGATATCAACGAACTGGTCGCGGTCTGGGCGTGTGTGTTCATGCCAGAAACCAACGACGTGTCCCAGTTCATGGACCACAATACCAAATTTATCACAATTTTTGCCAATCGATATAGCCTGAGGCCCTTCTCCACGTTTTCCAACAAATGAGCAGCAGCTAAACAGTTCAGACAGGTAAAATAATATTAGTTTCCCGAATTACTACTGTACCCGCAATCCGCTATAGTAAACACAATGTAATTGGTGTCTTCTGGTTTTCGAGGAACAAACGACAAGCATGTATAATTTTCCCAGTGGTTCATCGCCCGTCGAAACAAAGCGTAGTGCTCGCCTTAAATCAGAAAAAGATGAAATTTAACACGGAATTGGAAGTTTCATATAAGTACACTGTCTTTACCAAACGTGCTATACATAAACATATCAGTCATTCTTTATTTCACAGATAAGCAATTAAAGTTTTCTGAAACTTTGAAACCGTAAGCATTATCACTAATTGACATAAAAAGGCTCTGCTTCATTTATGATTTTGGAGTTTTAGGTTATGCAAAATAGTTTCTGAAATCACAGAAAAGAATATTAAATAAAAAAATGTGGTGGAAATTACCAAACCGAAAGATCAAAACCGCACGGTCAAAATACCAGACGAGGGATTCTAAAAGAAAGCTCACTTCGCAATGTCAAACGGCAAGCAACTAATGAGCAAACTTATGGTCAAGTGAATATGAAATATCATATATTTAAGACTGCCGTACTATGAAATACTGTTCAGATCGATTACAGGATAAGTGGAAGATCGGAGTCGTTTAAAAAACCTCACCAACCTATTGCCCGCGATCCTTGAAACGAAAAGCAGAGTATCAACGTGAAGGAACGAAACTGCGCACAGTGTAGCTCCTGTGGCCTCTACAAGAAACAACCTAGTAGAAAGAAGATGGAGATGATTAGGTCCAAGCTGCGTCACGCCTCCTGAGGCCTAATAGTAGTGCCGAAAGAAAGATTACCTAAGAGAATATAGAAACTGACGACTGAGCGCGAAAGAGTGCAGAATTGAAATAGAAAAAGAAACATCACATTGAAGAAAGAAACAAAATGCAAATGAGAAACGAACGATCCTATATTAAAGGCATAAAATTTGAAATTAATGTATATTAATCTGAAATTTACTACTGAAGTGATACCAGTGATCAAAGAATGGTTTACAATTCCTTACCGCTAAAGTTAGCCGAAACTTCGTAAGGAATGACACCGTTCTCCCAAATTCGCTCCATCCTGGCGGTGGCAGCTCGTGGTACTCTTCTACGTCCGTGCGCTCGGCGACCTGTATAAGATCTCCGCCTTTTACGGGATCTGAAGTAGCAATCCATTAGAATAACCTCTGAATAACAGTGACAGAATTTGGAAATAAATAAAAATGAGCAACCACTAAATTCTGACGTTGCCGGTGCCAAGCCCAGGTGAGAAAGGAAGAGGGTAGGCGACTGTGGCGAGGTCTCGGTAAAACATAGCGACCTTCCTCCAACGATATCGCCGTCATCGAACATTACACCGACCCGCTCGTCGCCCCGAATATCAAGAACCGCTCAGGCTGTTAAAGCAATGAGACAGGCTCTGAAAAAGCGGCGATCAGAACCTGCTCATCGTCTTCTAGGCAGCCGGGAGCGTGGCAGCACGAAAACGGCTGCAGAAGATCGACCAAACGACGACGCAGATACTTATCGCCAATGAAACCGCTACCCGTTCTGCTCGGAGGAGTCAGATCATGCGCTACTATCATAGTAAGGCAGATAAGGCTCCACGGGAACAACATGGAGAGTGGCAAAACTGTCCGAAACTGAAATATATCCTCACTCAGAAAGAAAGAGCAGGAGCTATATGATGAAGCCACAAGGTACCAAATTGACGGGGTTGCATTCCCTTCAACGAAGCCTCGGCGCTCTGGAATTCTGAACATCCATAGAGGAAGCCATTCTATTCAGGCGATCACATCACCAAGTGCGCTCAAGCCGGGGTTGGTATTCAAGTGGAACACAATCCGGCTGACAGAATGGAAGCCCGTCAGTGGAACAGTGGCAATACTTTGAATCCCGCTACAGCAAACTAAAGTTCCGGCCTTATTACAGATCTATACGCCCAACTCGGAGGGAGAACATGAACCCTCCCTTGAGGAAGTAGAACGTACCCCGCACGAAATGCCGACTAAGGCGTCTCTCATACGAATACTCTATTTCGATGCGCATGTGGGAATAGACACTGAAAAGTGGAAAGACGTGAATGGAAAGAAGGACCCCATCGACCTCAACAACCACGGCCAGAAGTTATTGCAGTTGAGTGCAAACAACGGACTGTCCATTATGAACACCTTATACGAGTACCGAAGCTTGCACCAGGATACCTGGTACTGAGAAGTGTGTACAAAGAATCGATTATCGATTTGCCAATCGTATCGCCTGATTTAAAACGCTCTGCAATGGGTGTTCGCGTTAAGAAAGGCGCAGAGCTGTCAACCGATCACAACCCTGTTGTTGGCATGCTGCGCTGTAAGAAACGGAGTACCATACAAAGATATGGTGGCAGAAGCAACCAGATAATCAAATGGGAAACATTATCTTCGGTGGATACGAGAGCGAAATTTGCAAACAACATCGCACGACGGTTTGAACAGATTGTCGTGATGACAAATGATGTGGAAAACCGACTTGCAGCTCTTTAAAAGCGAGGTTTTAACCTAGGTTACTCGAGGCTGCCGCCGAATGCTGCGGATAAAAACGGGTTGGCCTGCCGCCTAGAGTTCAGAAAAGAACTTAATGGTGGACACGAGAGGTACAACTGACAGTTAAAGAGAAAAAGGCAGCTGTGAAGAAATTGGAAACAAAGAGCCTTCTACTCGCGTGCGATATATCGAGGCACAAGGAGGCTGCGAAATTAGTTGCGAAAGCCAAAGCTGATTCCTGGAAAAAGTTCGGTGAGCTGTTGGAGTCGAATTTCTTCACGACAACCAAAGTATTCTGGTATATCAGTCGCCGGTTCTGAAGTGAAAAGAAGGACAGTCTAAGATTCTTGAAGGACAAGACCAGACAGCCCCTTACCAAGGATGATGACATTCTTCAGTAATGGAGAGAGTACATTAAGGAACTCCTTAATCCTGAGCTAAGTTACCGCAGGAAGATTCTTCTGCAGAGCAACATGGAACAGATAATACTGTTTCCGCAGATGAAATTACACAAGCTGTGAAAAGCTTGAAAAGTGGAAAAGCTCTTAGAACTGAAGAAATCCGACGAAATGGTCAAAACAATAGACGAACAAGGCGTATGCTGAACTACACATGTCCGTCAAACTGCATTTGCTATGGGGAAGATACCAGCAGACTAAAGAACGGGGTTGTTGTATCCCTATTCAAGAAGTGTGACTACAATGAGTGGCCAATTACAGGGGCAAACCGTCATTGAGCAACCTAGGTAACATCTACTCAAAGGTGTTAGAAAGGAGGTGCCGTAAAATAACCGACTCCGAGATACAAGAAGAGCAGCGTGGCTTCCGGCCCGGTCAAAGTACCTCTCACCACACATTTGCCTTGCTCCAGATTGTTGAGAAATCGTGGGAATGTACCCGTTTGGTGTACATGTGTTTTGTAGACCTAGAAAATGCCGATTACAGGATCCCACGCAACAGTCTGTGGACATGCCTTCGTGCATACAGGATACATTACCAGCTGATAAGGGCCATCCAATCGCTGTATTCTGATAGCAGGTGCTGCGTCAGAGTTAATGGCGAAACTATGCAGCGTTCGCACTGGTCTCCGCCAAGGTTGCGTCCTGTCCTCTATCCTGTTTGTGTTGTACATGGATAGAATAGTCAGGAGCTGCCAAGGCAATGAGGGTATCGATGTAGGAGATGTGAAGCCGAGAAGGTTACTCTTTGCAGACGACCTTGTTATACTGGCATCTTCTGAAACTGATCTTCAGTGCTCCTTAGAAAGGTTCGCAGCCGAGTGCGACGTGACCGGCATGAGTGTGAACGTGTCTACAACGAAAAATCGACTACGACCTGGTTCTACTGCCAGCTGCTTTCTTCAGATAAACTTAGTAGAAATAGAGCGGGTGGAGAAGTTCAAGCAGCTGAGGGTCATGGTAATGGGAAATGAGTGGAAAAGATCGACCGGCAGATTGGAATAGGCAGTCGCGTGAACTAACCCGAACCGTTTTGAGTAAAGGAGAGCTGTGT